GTGTGTGTGTGTCCGCGCCAGTGGTTGTGGCAGGATTGATTGAAGCAATGACCTCTGGGATTTGTACGTCGATTCAGTGGCAGAATTGTAGTTCTTGGGCAATCTGCAATGGCGTATATGCACACGGATTTTTAAATTCAGTCGGTTAGCCCCAGAGCTTCCTCATAATTGTCATCCCATACAAAGTCATCGTGTTTAAGATCTGATTACAGTGATCTTCACAGCTTGGCTGAGATACAATATAAAGGGGGTATCAGACTTTCTCTCTCTTTCTTTTCCTCTGAAGAGGCCCTGCCCTAGTTTGGCAGACGACGAGTCCTGGAATAGTCTGGAGTGAATTGGCGTCTTTTAAAAAAGGGAAATAGGTGTGGAGCAAGAGGCTGAGTTGGTTGGCGTGTGGTTTGGCGTTTGGTGTTGTAGGTAAAATACATAGTTGCTAGCGGTATTTTTGATTGTGTATTCCCATTTTGTTGTGTGTGTAAATTTTGACTTTTGTTTGTTGTTTATCCATCCGTATTCTAATAACTTTTTTGGTTTGTTAGTTATTATTGTACTGTACTTTGTTTATACACAGTTAGAAGCAGTACATCCTTGACCATTGTCCAGGGTTGTAACATAAATTGGGGGTTCATCCTTTGTTTTTGTACATCAAAAATGTCTTAAACCCTTTGTGTGGATGCGCAGTGGGTAAGTCATTTTAACTTATTCTTTGTTTGGCTGCTTTCTTTTCGTTGTTGGAGTAGCGAATGGTGTTAACATGAAGTTTGATATATTTTCTTTTTGTACAAACAAAACATGACAATTTTATTTAATAAATGTCTTCAAAATAATAAATGTCTTTATTTGTTGTGATTAAAAATCAGAGTTATTCCACAAAATATTGATTCCTTAACTATTCTTTAATCAAAACCTTGTTATTCTGTTGTGTAAAAATCTGAATATAAACATCTGAAAACAGATCCTTTTTATTTTATGCAATAAATAAATAAATTAAAGAAAAGCCATGAGTAGTTGCTGCCATACGATAGGCTGATTAGACAGTTGCATTAATGAGCACTCAATACCTAATAATACTTGTATTTTTCATTAAAAATTACAGCAAATTGCTGAAGTAAAATAAATTTTTCTTTCTGTCTCAAATTATATTCACCAGCTGTTCTACTTTTCATTCATGCCAATGCTCTCTGTTTGTTTATGCATTTTTTAGAACCACATTTCAACATCAGCAAATGCATCTAGACAAATCTCACTAAGATGAGCCAAATTGCATCTCATTTCGCCTGCTCTTATGTATTTTCTATCTGCTGAGAGACAGCAGGAAAACAAAAGCGCACTGTTGAGTGGAGTTGTGTGGAGGGGCTCTTCTCTGGCCCCATCGCCACAAGCTTCACTGACCCCAATTAATTTCGGACTGATCCCAGACGCCAGCGCAGCTCACCCAGCCTGGTTCTTCCAGCACAGCCTATACCCGCTGCCCACGCACTGTCAACAAACCTGAGCTGCCATTTAGGCTGAGCTGAGATCAGCTTTCCTAACTCACAAGCTTGCCATTTACACTCTTAAGAGCATCGCAGAGCTGTTTTAGCTCCCAATGGCAGGATAACCTCCGCCAACAGTTTGAATATATACATCAAGTGTGCATATATTTTACATCAGTTATTTAATCTCATTGTAATCGGGGCATTTTCATGGTGTAAGTAACCAGATATGGAGGTCAAGAGAGGCTGTGCTAAAGGTTGCTGCAGCAGTGTCTCATTTTAAAAGCATAGTCTTGATATGGATCATACAGTAGCTGAATTGTGATTCATGGACCACATTTCAGAACTTGGGATGTATGTGATTTGCAAGAAATAATAATTACAAAGTTTAACCACCAAATTGCAAGGAATTATTGTCTCATAGATCATATCTACCATTTTCTTATGTCCTATGATGCTTTGTGTGAATTATGGGAGTAACTTCAGTGTAGTGTTTTTAAAAAGTGCAGATACAATAATGCAGTTTCTGTATTCTCCACAAAGTCCATCTATCCGATCTGAAATGGCATTATATATGTATTAGCATCAATAAATTACTATAAGCATACCATAAATAATCTCATGGCAATATTACTAACATGTTAAAGATTGTCTTGACTATGTATCTGGGTTGTTTGTTGCACTTTTGTATGATTTGTTTTAGTTGTTCTGTATATAAATTCCCCAAACAGAGTTCTCCTTCACTTTTTCTCAGTCTTGAATGGACAAATACAAAGTCATGTCCTCATTTCCACATCAGAGGTGATTTTAGGAGTTTATTGGGGTGGCAAAGAAGACCAATGACCATTTAGTGCAAGCTCATGGAAAAAAGGTCGGATTTTTATATTTAATGGGGTAGTCCAGAATGTATTTTTAAGGCTTGGTTGTGTTTATAAGATGCAAAGCAATGTGTGTTCATGCTTCATTGGTAGAAAATCATGTTATTTTTCATATATCTTACTTTGATTATATACTGCTACAAGGGTGAAGCAGTGGCGCAGAAGGTAGTACGGTCGCCTCACAGCAAGAAGGTTCGAACCTCGGCTCAGTTGGCGTTTCTGTGTGGAGTTTGCATGTTCTCCCTGCGTTCGCGTGGGTTTCCTTTGCAGTCCAAAGACATGCTGCAAGTGAATTGGGTAGGCAAAATTGTCCGTAGTGTATGAGTGTATGAGGGTGACAGGCCCAGACGACAGGCCGGCCGGAAGGTGTAAAAAAAGTTATCATATGGACAAGTCTAAATGGAGGACTTATTCCAAAGAGCCGGCCCCGCAACCATACAGGACTAAGGCTAAAGAAGAAGAAGAAGATTATATACTGCTACAAAATGACTGTCATATTTCCTAGTTCCTCGAAAAGGCCCGCCCTCAAGAGACTCTGATTGGACAGCTTACATGATGTGCTGTGATTTGCACATCGGCTCCACATCACCAGAAAAGTGTTATGCCTCCACAAGTATGCGCTTTGCCTCTGCTGTGTAAATAGTGTCAGTCAGAGTCGCTGTTAGCAGTATCTGTTTGAGCCTTTATCAGACAGAAAATTAAAAGGATGAACCTCATGCCCGCTCTCTAATATAAAATCTGACAAGTGTCTGTAACGAGTGAAAATAGCGTGTGGTTCCTTTAAGAGAGAATTGGCATTTTATGTATATGTGTGTGAACAGTGTGTAGATGCATGAAACACAAGAACTGCATGTGTGAGAGACCGATGTTTATTTTTATTTTTCTCTGATGCTCAAATTAAGTTATTTCTCTGTAATATACAGTGATGCTGTTGACAGAACAATAAAGCGTACGATGTGGAACTACACGAGTTAGGCAAGCTACAGCATATTGTATTTTTTTACCTAACTCAATGAGTTACATGTCTTTCACATATATTCAGAATAAGCATGTGTAAGTAATATGAAACTATAAATAATATGTTTATATATCTTAATGCCAAACAGCATTTCCCGTTGTTTACATCCTTGCTTCAACATACTTTTAATGCTAGACACTGTGCATGACAAAGATCAATTTTAACTAATTAAAAACACTTACAGGTTGTGTCTCACAATCCACAGGTTCTGCTTGATAGAGCTATTCCTTTGAGGAGTTTTTAGCCGAATCCAGCACTGAACTGGGAGAGATTCTGGAAGCTGTCCTTTGTCAAATGCTAGCTATACATTTTTTATCATTCTCAGGAACATAATTAAAATTAAACTGTAAGCACTTTGTGTTGTGTCCTTTGCAAGCCCAAATACAGAAACAGAGCTCTGTGGAAAAGCAGCGTTTAGACAGCATTTTAGCTTTCTCTACTATAACATTAATGCGCTTCTGGCAACGCCCCTTCACAGCGCAGGGTGTGTGCGTGTGGTAAATGCATGTAACCAGAAACCCTTGTGATCTCACTAGCCTGGATGTATTTTTTTGTAGTCTCCAAAGTTTGCTTGCTGTAGGCTTTGTTAAGCTGACTCTTTAAATGCCAGTGTCTCCCTTTGCATCGAACTTTGAGCGTACTACATTCAGAGATGTTGTTTATGCTCATGCAGCTACATTACAAATTAACTAAAGTGTAAAATATGATATCATAGTGGACCAATCCTTTAATAGCCAAAGTCTCCTCTGATTAAAGAGAAACTCATTTAAATGTGAAGCTGTTCTTGGACATAAAAAAATAATAATAAAACTACCACACAAAAATGCAAACAGGTGTTAACTTTACTACATCTCTAATATCTGTTTTTCTACAATGCATAGATCATTAAACAATGGTTTAGAATCACACATTTTCTCAAAAATACATGTGGTCATGGTTGTCCTCCAACGTGAAAGTAAACATCTACAGTAAGTAACAATGTATGTATCGCAAATTATGCATGATGTGTATTAGTATATTGGGTCCATGCAACAGCTCTTAAAATGGTCACCGCAATAAAAGACAATCAACCACTCACTGTTATTGGTAAGGTAACTTTAATGAAAACTAATCTATATATAATGTGTACAGCAAAGACAGTATATGACTATATGAAAAACACTGTATTACTTTATATACTCTTATTTCATTTCTATTTTTTTTTTCTCTTATGAAATTGTATATAGCTGTTATTTTGTCTTTTTTTTCTTTGCACGGATTAATCCAGTCCATCACTTCAAGTACTGTAATATGATCTAAACCATAAAACGGTTTAATCCATACTATTAATAGTTTTAATGTACTGTGTTTTGATTATTAGATTTTGTGTGTGTGTGTGTGTGTAAATTCTAGATTTGGTCATTTTATATTTGTTTTTTTAACATTTTATGAGTCCATTAGCAAATGCTACATCAAAACTGACTATAAGATAAATATGTTTTGGAAATATTTTTCATTTGTATGTCATCTTTCATGTAGTTATTTAATATGAACAAATAAAACCTCATTGAAGAGTAGTTAAATATATTAATTTCCCATAAAAATATATATATTACTCATAATTTAAAATCCATTCAGACTTTTTACCTGCTCTCTCTGTCCGAGCATCACATCCACCGGCTGGTCATCATTGACGTCTCTCTTTGGCCGCACAAACGCTGGAGGAATGAGCTGATGTGCCTTCTTTAAGTCCTCAGGCTCCACCCCCTTTCCATCACGGAGACGGCCCCAAGCCTCCTGATTGGCCCTTTGCTCCTCTGTGGGAGGAGCCTGCTGATTTGGTCTGCTGTCCTTGTCTTTTAGTTCAGGGTGCTCTTTATCAGTGTGCTGGGCTCCTTCAGCGGATCCATCCCCGTTTTCAGTGATCACATCATCAGTCTGATCCGCAGCAGCTGGAGCCGCTCGATCCTTCAGACCGTCTTTAAATGCTGACACCACCACACTGCATTTCTGCACCTTCTCCACCTGCTGCTTCTTGGACATCAGCACACCCATGACTGTAATACAGCAAATCAACACAAGGCATCAGCCCCCTGTATATTTTTTCCCAAATTTTGTTTAATAGAAGAGAGAAAAAATTTAACACATTTCTAAACTTAATAGCTTTAATAACTAACATCTAATTAACTGATTTCAATTTGTCATGATTGCAGTACATACTATTTTCCTGGATATTTTAAGATACTAGTATTTAAATGTTATTTTAAAGCTTAACTGGAATAATTAGGCAGGTTAGGGTAATTAGGCAAAGGATTGTATAATGATGGTTTGTTCTGTAGATAAACAAAAAATTGCTTAGGAAGCTGATAATATTGACCTTAAAAAGTTTTTTTTTTTTTTTTTAAACTGATTTACTTCTAGCCGAAATAAAACAAACTACTTTCTTCCGCCATTCATTCACATCTGCAGCTGACGTCAGAACTGCAGAAACCGTTGCTACTTCACCAATGTCACTTTAGAGCTAGTGTTTGAATGATTCTCAAGCGTTATGTCTAAAGTGATGACAAAACAGGTGATTTTGCTGACATTTAAGATAATAAGATTAGTTCTTTGTTGCAATGGGGAGATCACAATAATTATATCCAAAAAAAGCCAAAGCAGCGCAAACACTACCAGATTACTGTTGGGTTTGCAATAAGGTAGACGGCAAAACACATGCAGGCATTTCTTCTTTCTTTCCTTCTTTTTACTTAACTAGTCTACAGTGATGAAAACAAGAGGCACATTAGAAACAAACAGATGGCCAACCAAAAAGTAACTCAGGGTTATACAGAGTGACTAACATCTCATACTCAATACACTACAATTGTATATAAATACAGCAATACAAATTACAAAAGAGAGAAATCAACTTGCCACTTGCCTGTTTAATAATGATTAAAAAATTTTCTTTTCTAAGGGCTTTTTTATGTGGTCTCTGTCGCCATCATGTGGATGACAACATACACCGTCTTTGCTCTGCTCAATGACAGGCTAATAGCCGCCGATGTGCTGGCTCTTCAAAATTATAAACATTTTAAATAGGCACTGTCCCTGTAAATAAACTGAATAGTTGCTATAATCCTCATTACCCAGCTAACATATTTATGTTGTGAGAATGTTCTCCTAACGTTATCTGTAACGTTCCAAAAATGTTGAAATGTCCAGTTTGCTTAATGTTGCTAGAACGTTTTTTAACGGTTAGCTTAACGTTCTTACAACGTTTTTAAAAACCAAATTACCACCAAAATATAATGTTTTGAGAACGTTTATTTGGAACGTTCCAAGAACGTTAAAATGTCCAGTTTGCTTAATGTAACAGGAACGTTTTACAACATTCATTGTACAAATAACGTCCTGAAGACGTTCTAATAACTTTGTTCTAACAACGTTTTTATATAACGTTACAAGAACGTTAAAAATATTATGAGAATGTTTTAAAAACGTTCTATTAATAACGTTTTGTGCTAACATTTTCGCAACTTTTAAAGAACGTTAGTGAATGTTCTGGGAACGTTCCCTGTTAGCTGGGTACAAGCCTCAAGTACATTTCGCTGTCTAACAGCAGTAATATCAAACTGTAGTGTCTTCTGCTTGTCGCTGTATGTGGACGGAGTAATACACAAGAAGAGTGAAGAGGCTGTAAGAGTGCTGTTATCTGCAGAATATTGAACAGCTATCAACCAATCAGATTCAACAACCAGACAGAGCTGTTGTAAAAATTTATTTAAAAATGCTGATTTTATCAAGGTTGGTATAATTAATTAACAACTGGGTATGTATGTTTCTAACTAAAAATGTTAAATGTCTCATTTGTAGAAGTGCGATATGGCAGCATATGATCACTAGTGGGACACTCCAATGCATGCCTCTCTCCAGTGCCGAAATACTGCCACATTGCACTGCTACTCATGTGATATTGCTCATATATATATATATATATATATATATACAAATATGATAAAATCTAATATTTTTGCCTCCCCCAATATGAAAAGTTTAATTAATCCTTCTAAAAAAGCTAAATATTTATTTTAATTATTCATTTATTTTCCAAACTGTTTTTATACAGTATGTACAGTAGAATGAAAGGGAGAAAATAAAATAAAGCTATGAATTAATTTTCATTTGTCCAGATAAAGCATTTATTGTATCATATCAGGAAACGCAATCACCTGTGCTGGTCCTTTCAGCAGAGTAAGCTTCAAATCCTATTACTATAGTAAACAGAAACAGCGCTCTCATGCTTGCTGTGTCGGTGTTCGCACCCTGTTGCATAACAAATATTAAGGTTGAAAACAAGACATGTTCTATCGACTTTGTCTCTAAATCACTGCTGTGGCAAAATACGCCCACATGCTGGATCAAGCAGACTTTGTGCAGCACAGTGAATGTGCTGTTAAGCGCCTCGCTGGCGTTTTCTTCACACAAATCTCTCGCATGATTGATCACTGGAAGGCTGCTTGTATTGGTGCACTGCAATCACGGATCATCAATCTTAACTAATGGCAACCCGTGGCGATTTGTGATTACAGTGTGAGCAGGGAGCCAAAATGAAAAGATTTTGTGAATGGGGGTATGTTTACACAACAATGATGCTCTAAAACTGAAAGTGTAACAACAATAAGCTATATTGTGTCGTTCACACAGATTGGCGAAAATGCCGAAATACACACGCCAGGACAGTAGGTGGTGATGTAAAAAACAACAACAACAACATTATGACAATTGCAAACTCTGAACAGTGTTTTTCACAAATTTTATAATATATAATTTTATCATTCAAATCTACAATAACTGAAATATGAATTAATTTTGAATATCAGTTCAGCTTTCTTTAAAATCTAATTTATACAATGTAAATAACGTAAATGAAGTTAACTTGTAATTTAAGGTTTAGCGGCGGAAACATGCCTCACTTTGTCTCTACCAATCACCTACTCCCTTATACTTATTTAAGGAAGACCATCCCTCTAGCAATGTTCTTTTTGTTTTTGAACCCACCCTCCCTCCATTTCCTTGCTTCCCATTCACAATCCTATAACCCTCTTCACTCATACATGTAGGTTAAATCGGAGGGTCCAATCACTCTGCCAAACTATTACAGAGACAGTACCCCCACTCTGAGTCTCTGGGCAAAGTAGGACGCTCGATCAACTTACCCACCTGTTTACCAGTCATCCTCTTACTCCCCTTCCCTTTCATGCACTCTTCTTCTACCATCCCTTTCATCCCTACATCCCTACAGTAAAGTCTAGCTTAAAGTGTGGTGCTCTCTACGGGGTGGAGAAACAATTTCTTTAAAGAGACACTCTGTAATATGTTGTGCATATTGTTGTTTTAAATGCACACACATTTTAAATAGTCCATGATTAGTTTTGGTAAAAACATGCACTTGTTTTCCATATTGATTGAAATATATGTAAATGACACAAACAAGCAATGACTGCGTTCAAAATGGCATAAATGTTTTTAAAGTGCACTACGAAGGAAACGCAATTGTCAATATAAAGCTTGCTAAAACTGAACTGTAAAAATACTTTAAAAGCAAATTAGACACAGGAGAGATGACTTTTATGTTTTTAAGTTTAAATGTTAGAATGTTCTAAATGAATAGGGCATGGGGAGGATAACTGGGAATAGAACATAATCAGGAACTATGTTTAACTACAGCTCAAGAGGTGTAGTTGGAAATGTACAAGTTTGCGATGCAGTTTGCTATAATGTTCGTTGGATTGACAGATTTGGAAATGCCAAATCAACAAACTCTGTTTGTAATGACACAACTTGCGACCTTAGTTTGCTAATGATAGTTTTCGGAAAGGCACACCTGATTGGCTAACAGTGCTTTAATCCTTCAGTAATCCAATTGGCAATCCTGTTCCTTTGTGTCATTGTTATTTTGGTGTGTTTTGGTTATTCTTTTACATATGAAATGTTTTGTTGTTGTCTTTTTTAGGTGAGGGGGTGAGGGGGTGAGGGGTATCATTAAATTGCTTAAATTGTTTGCACCTTGTTGTGAACAGCCCTTAATGGTCTAAAAATGAATTTGAAGGGCTTTGCTTGGTCCATGTGTTTCTTGTGTTGGACAATGAGCTGTGATTTAGCTCGTCCAGAGCGGACATCAAATAAGCTTGAACGCTTGCTCTATCTTTTCAGCCTTTAATCAGGGTAATGGTGTGAAACTGCTTTAGTTGCTATTCTCCCTCTCTAAATGCTAAGCACAGCAAGCTGGTGAATTTAAATGGATGCTGCCTTCTTGGTAAAAGGATAGTTCATCCAAAAAAGATGAGATTTGTTCTAAAAATTGCTTTAAATAATTGCAAATGTCCTCGGAGGGGTTTGCAGAGGATCCAAGCAGTCAAAACTAACCAGATGATTTTGTAAGTTCACATTGCTAGTTTTGTGGTGAACAACTCATCTGAGCGTGTGATTAAGAAAAATTATTGTTCGTCCTTCTAATGTTTAATTGAAATCTGAAAATATATATCTTAGGAATTGGGCATATTTAAATATTTACATTACATATTTAATCACGCTGCTCCAACTGTCAGATTTGACAACAAACATAAATAGGGAGGATAAGTCTGTTAGGTTATAATAAGTCTCCCAAACCCTTTTCCCAATCTTTCTGAATAAAATGCCTACTTTACTACATCCATTAAGCTCGCAGTATAAAAAAACAAGCCACGTCCACTGTTTTCTCATTTAAATATTCTGTTTTTCTAGGAACTGCATCACAATAAGAATAAAATTTTGGTCGCAGCTTTCGGTTTATGGGGAGTTTAAAACAAGGCATTGCAGGCAAATAAGATAATAAATAAACCAGTTATCAGTAAACTACCCTGGTTTTTTGGGTAGTTAAATATAACTATTATATAGTTATAAGGAAAAAAAAGAATTCACTTTAATTATTTTATTTAATAAATAAGTTTTGTAAGTAGGTGTGTCTAAATATGTAAATGAGGCATTGTTTAATTAAGTATGCTCTAATTTGAAAGCATTTAGCACAGAAATT